GATAAACCGGGTAGGCCGAAGCTTGTAGGTTTGTGGAGAAAGGCTACTCGGCCGGTGAGGGCCGAGATGGGAAAGTCTTGTATTAGAGGGAAGAGGGAACAGCAGAGAACACTAGAAGGCGAGGAACCGAAGAGAGCATCACCACACCTATCCGTCACGCAATTCAGATCACTCATCGAATCTCCGAAGAAACCAAGCAGAAACTCCCTGTTCCTCCGCAATCTACCAACTGCAATCTCCGTAGATCCATGCCCCATATTCAACCGCATTTACTATGCTACGAGTATATCTAACAGCCCCCCTGCTCGTATGCATCGTAATGACACGGCAAGTCAATATAATTCCATTTACTTCCCAAACGTAGATCCTACTCCTCCATGACACACAAATAACCAAGAACTCGATGATGCAAATTTTCCTGAACTCACCACGTCTTGTCTCATCGCCTTCATTCCTTCTCTGAAAAACGCTCTTCTTCTGGTCCATCCTTTCTCAGTACAACGTCACCCGCAAAGTACTAATATCCCCCGCACAACCGAAGCATTAAACAATCCATCGAACCAAACCTATCTGTGACACTCGTCATTACGTCCACTTTCGAAAACACGGATCAATTCGTAGAAATTCGCCTTCGTTGTGCTTCCAGTACATCCATCCATCCGTCTACAAATCCTACAAAGACAACACAAATTTCGCAAAAATAGAAGTAAGTATGAACAGCCCATTTGCAGGTAAAACGCAGCTGGGTATGGTATGGATCCTTTTTTACTCTCACATGTCCGATCAAACAACATCCATCCTCAAACATTCGTTCAGCGTGAAGATCATTTGCGCAGAAAATACGTGAGTATTCCTATTGTGTCTCTCTAGAAACCTAGTACCACCTACAGGTAAATACCTTCCGAAAGAACAACGCGCCCCCCTGCTCTGGGAGATTCGCCCCCGTGAGTTTAGAAGGGGTTGGAGTCTGAACCATAGAACAAAAGAACAACATTTAATGTTCATCCAGTCGAAACCCAAGAAAAACAATCCTCCTGCAAATAAATCCCGACGAACACCAAAACCAAATCAAATTCAATGCCAAAACATATAATCCAATCCAGTACCAAAACAGAACATTCGAAAACCCTTCAATTCAATACCAAAACAATCAACACTCGAAAATCCTCCAATTCAATACCAAAACAATAACACTCGAAACTCCTACATTTGCCGGCCCATCAAGCTCCAGCGCTAACCCATTGCCCAAGCCATTGTTTCTCTCCCCCCAGCGGATATTTCGCACGCCTTCGCCGCGGTCGCCTTCCGTCTTTCATCTTTTCCGGCTGGCCGCGACTCGAGCTTGGATGTTTGCGTCCGCCTGACGTGGGGGAAGAACATTTGTCGCTCCCGGAGGATTGACTCGGCGGTGGTGCAGGGCAGGTCGCGCGTTTGGAGAAGATGGCGGCAGATTAGTTCCGAACAAACCAGCACTACTGAAGAGAATCACATACTACCAACATTCCCCCCGGTTCTGCACAGTAGTGACTGCAGCAGAAAAAACAATAAATGAAATACACTTTCAAGTCGTCGGACCCTACTTGTGCAATGTTTGTCTGAAATTACCGATCACTGCGACATTGCAATTCAATACATAGATACCTGAATATCATCCTGAAACGGAGGTTGATTAGTCCTCTATCACAAAATCATAATTCAGCCGCTGCTCCTGTTCCAAACAAAGGGTAATCAATCCTAAGTCGAAACTTTCACAACTTTGGAATCGCAATCTCATAACAAATAGCAACCTCAAGACAACGTATAACAATATTCGGAAATCAGCATTTATTTCGTCAATATTGTGGATTTTTAATCTGCAACAAGGTGGATGTACCAATCAATGTTGCACGTCGCTGAGACTTCACACGTCTGTGGTACTCGCTAACACAACCAAGACATGAAAAGTTTTTGATCAGGTTAAACCTGCTACCGAAAGAAAGTCCAGATAAAACGTTGATCACGCATTTTTGATCAGGCTAAACCTGTTGCTCAAAAAGTAGCTACCAAAAAGAGCCCAGATAAAACGTTGATCACGTTGTTGCCGGCGAGAGAAAGTTGGTCTCAGCACGGCTGTCAGGAAGACAAAGCACAAAACTTCGCCAATCACTGCATTACATTACGCACAATACTATTTCTAATACCATGCTACACGCACACACAATATCATCAGTTTAGAAACTGGCATCAGTTTTTGAGGATTACTGGTAACCTGGATTGTGTCTACCCATTTGGTACAGGTAGTCGGCCTTTGACCGAGTGGTGGAGTTTGACGGCTGTACCGCACGACGTATTGTCGCGTTTTGATTGAGCAAGTGTTGGTGTTTGACGGCTTTACCGCGCAGCGTGTTGCCGCGATTATTCTAGAGAAAGAGTTGGAGAGAGAGTTTGACGGCAGTACCGGGTGGAGGTGGAGTTGGAGTAAGCGTTGGTGTTTGACGGCAGTACCGCACGGCGTAATGCCGCGTTTAGGATCTGACGGCACTATGTAGGTAGGCGTACCGCATCACCGCATGGATGGGTGTACACATAACGACAGCAGTCGAAAACTGACAAGTCATCACGTGCCTGTTCATGCCTACAAGCCCAGTAGACGGCGGGCCTCAGCTAACGATGGCGCTGCTGTAGGTCTTGGGAGCGCTGCTGTAGGTCTTGTGGGTGCTGCTGCTGTGCAGGCCCTCGCCGCTGTTGGCCTCTTCGTCTGGTTGGATGTCGTCAGCCGCGCATGCGGCTGCCCATCGGTGCTACCCAATCACCCTCGACAAAGTCGTTAACGCTAGCGTGTTGGATAAACCGGGTAGGCCGAAGCTTGTAGGTTTGTGGAGAAAGGCTACTCGGCCGGTGAGGGCCGAGATGGGAAAGTCTTGTATTAGAGGGAAGAGGGAACAGCAGAGAACACTAGAAGGCGAGGAACCGAAGAGAGCATCACCACACCTATCCGTCACGCAATTCAGATCACTCATCGAATCTCCGAAGAAACCAAGCAGAAACTCCCTGTTCCTCCGCAATCTACCAACTGCAATCTCCGTAGATCCATGCCCCATATTCAACCGCATTTACTATGCTACGAGTATATCTAACAGCGTTCGTCGATAAACTCCGTAGTGAACGTGGATGTCTTGCACAGTGACTCTTTGACGGCTATCCCCACACCATGGACTCCACCTGTCTCCGTGCCACAGCAGAACACCCGGAAACCCGCTGCTGCAAATTCCGTTCGACCTGCCCTCCGTGTCTCCTGCATTCCTACCACCGATACGTTTTGTCTCGCTGCCTCGTGTAGAATGCTGTAGGCTCGCCCGTATCCGTTGGCCCTGTTTACAGCCAAAGTCCGCACATTCCAGGTTGCTACCCTAAGAAGTTGACCCTGCTGTCTCTTTCGCGCGGCGCGCGCTGCTCTCTTAGCTAGCCTACGCGCCGCCCGACCCCTCCTTCTCCTCCATCTCCCCCTCTTTTTTTGTTTGTTTGCTATTTTTTTGCGAACACTCGGGCTAACGTAATAGTTACCCCGGTTCTTGCCTTGTTTCCCATAGAGTTGTCTTCTTGTCCCGGAGCGGTGTGGCCTTCCATCTCTGGACTCTCTCCTTTCCTCTCTCTGGGGCTTACCCCCACGGCGTGCGGTCACTCCGCCACCCTCGCCGTGCTCTCTGCTGCTGCATAACCCCGGTGTCCAAGCCGGGGCGTTAGGATCCAGCCTCATTTTGCAGCTACCAAAGCTGGCGGTTCACGAGCTACCCCGATCTCACGACAGCAGTAACTCCCAACCGCCAAACTCAGGATCCCCCTCTCAACAGTGCTAGGGACCGTATATCCGTCTTTGCTGGATGGTCTTTCGAGGTCTAGATCCACTTGCGGAACCTCGGCCTACCCCAGGGACGGGGGGGGCAGGCCGGGGAGGAGAGTACGCGGACGTCGTTCGGCGTCTAGTCCATACCGCTGTTGCGAAAACACAACAGTAATCGAGCTATTATTGTATGAATGAAATGTTTTGCTCTGGTTCACTTGTGCCTCCACAACCCGAGAATCCCATTGCTGTACAGTATCTCGACCTACAAGACTCCAATCAACAAACCAGCACTGGCAGAAGTGCGTGGAAGATGCTGCGACAGCACAACTGAGTCGACAATCGTACGACTTCCATGTACAGTCGGCGTCTGGTCCATACTGCTGTAGAGATACAAAAATCGAGCCATCTTTTTTTTTTTTTCCATACTGTACCAATAACAAGAAATGTATCACGTCACGACGACCATCCTGTGATGTATATAGTCTATATATAACATGAGAATAATTCCGGATTCGTCTCAAATCCGAGATTAATACAGTATTCATATTATAGCATTATAGTATTCATATTATACGCAGTAAATCCGAGACTCTCCCCATTGAAAGTCAAACACAGGACATCGTTGTTGGCGGGGGTTGATGCGGCGCTCATGAGGGCGGCTGGTACACACGACCTGTACCGAGCGAAGAGGTGTGCTGCTGGTGCTGTGCGTGTGTGGCGGTACCGGGTGAATACCATGCCTAACTTCCCGATCAGCCCGGTACCGGTATTCTCGGTACTGTTATATGCTCGGTACCGGTATGAACATCGTACCGAACGTACCGAAGTTCTCGGTATATACATTATACCGAACCTACCGAACTTCTCGGTACCGGTATGGAGACCGTACCGAACCTACCGAACTTCTCGGTACCGGTATGGAGATCGTACCGACCGTACCGAAGTTCTCCGTACAGATAGATACGGATCGTCGTACCGGCACCATCGGTACCGGTACGAAGTGCGTACCGAACGTACCGAACTTCCCGGTACCGGTACGGACGTCGTACCGAACGTACCGAAATTCTCGGTACCGGTACGAACATCATGCCGAGGGTACCGAACTATACCGGAGGTATATTACCGCTGGTACGCCTCGGTATGTACAATATAAATACACACACACACACAGAAGAAGACGACCCATTCGAGATATACCCACACTGTGGATTGTTGTGCATCTCGTCTCTCTCTCTCTCTCTCTCTCTCTCTCTCTCTTTCTCTCTCTCTCTCTCTCTCTCTCTCTCGCTTCTCTGCTGGTGGAAACCCACCCCAACTATGCGAAGCCTGGCATTACATACGCTTGCGATACTGGGCTTGGGTGTGATGCCGCTCGGACGCTGCGACGGGTTCTCTGCAATATCGTCCGTTTTGAAGCTCAGCAACCCGCCGAGCATGATCATGCTCGGCAAGACTTCTACCATCCAGGGTGTCCCACGATGTAGACGGCAACGGGCCGGCGGTTTACCGGGCTGCGAAGAAGGCTCTTCGTTCTTCCCCTCGACATCTTTCCCCTATCCTCCAGCAGTGGCAGCGCCAGACTCAACACCCCAAAGTTGCACTACCCGGATGTGTCTGGGCTCTCACAACGGTGAGAAAGTGAGAATGAATGTTCGTGTCATGATACAGCACTGCTGCTGGCGCCGTCGTTAGATGTAGATACGATGAGGGAGCTTAGCTCGGGTTAGTGTAGAGGGCCGAAAAGGGAAAGTGTTGTATCATGTAGATTAGTTTGTGCTCGTGGCTGGACACAAGAGATGGCGACATATCCGGAACGGAGTCACCCTTTCGTACCGAAACGAAAACGTCCCGAGGATTTCACCCGCGTTTCCCCGATCCTCAACGCCGAAAAGCAAAAGAACCAACTACCCAACACCTTCCTTCTATGCACCTTCCCAGCATAACATAGTCTACAGAGAGATGGAAAGGTGGCTACCAAACTATCTTGTTGAACCTGTGTTAACCACAGGGGAGATATCGCTGTGCGCTGCTCGGGAAATCGTGGAAATACAGGTAGTAGCCTTCCCTGACGCCATGGATTCATCGCTGATGTATCGTAGACTCTTTTGTTGGATGGGAGATGGATTCGTTGGGTCATTATTGTTCTGAGATCGGCTTGTTCTACGATTGCGCAGGGTGCCACAAATATCTATACATGTAGCACACCGAAAAACAAAATCATCCCAACACCTTCCTTCTACACCTTCCCAGCATAACATGCAGAAAATATACACACGACGGCTACCAAACTGTCTTTGTTGAGCCTGTTCCCCACAGGGGAGATCCATATCGCTGATGTATGCCTCTGGGGAATACCGTAGGTGGTCCGATATAGTGGCAACCTGAATAGTGGAGCTGCGCAAACGGTGGAATCAAGTCTCTTGTCACAATCTCAACATGTAGATGCATCAACCCGATAGATATGTCGAACAGTGGCACGCCCTGAATAGTGACATATTCTCCTGCCCCTACGGCCTAATCGGGCCACCTACTGCGTAGAAATATGAGTAGCTTCCGCTGACGCCATAATTCATTGCTACAGCCGCTGTATTCTATCTTTGAATCTTTTCTCTAGATAGAGGTGGATTCGTTTTGTCATACTTCGAAGTACGAAGTATGAAAAAAAAAAGAGTCAGCCGCTTTTCCTCCCACTCCCGTTTCTCCCCCGCTGATAGCACATTATTCAGCACATCCCCTTCGACTCTAGGTTGGTGATATCTCTAGCACGCCGTTTCTCTGTGTTTGTATCTACAAATGGTATGTGAGCCACAGAGGGAGGTTTCCACGATGGGGTGCCGTTAACACGGTGTGCTGTGTGGCTTGACGAACTTTGTTTTCAGCGGAGATAGATATGGGCACGCCGGATTCTGTTGTGTATGGCGGTTTCCCTAGGTCGAGCTACGAAGAAGTCGAAAAATGTATTGATATCCTATCGCTTCGTGCAATACACCGGCACAAGTGAGATGAACCACAAGACGCAAGAAAACACAAACCGGAAGCGTTCACTCCAAGGAAAAAAAGGACAACATCGGTACCAAGACAAAGGAACCTACGCCGACACAGGCGAAAAAGTGTCTCCTTGCGTAAAACAGTCAAGACGCAGAAGTTCATAATTCTGAAACGTGCCACGGGACGCCGAAAGGGGCCGGGACGTCAGTTGCGGAAGGTCATGGCTTGTGATGGTCCCCAAGAGAGAGGAAACCCTTACCTTCAACACCAAAGCGTGGACGTTTCTCACTCACACAAATCGCGCACAGGGGTGGTGAACGCAGAAAGACATACGGAAAGTGTTTTTCTCTTGTCGCTGCTTGTGAGTTCAACCTCCCGCTTCTCCGCGAAGCCAACCAGTCTCAAACCCCATCCCTAGAAACCCTATGTTGCCCATGTCTCGCCGGGCTGCCACTAAGACATTCCAACCCAAGAACAATCATGGGGAGCCGAACAGATGACTGCCGACTTCATTGCACGCATGGTTGACGGCGATATTATAACGGGGATTCCTGCGGGAACGTGTTCGTCAAAAACATGGACGAGAGAATGGGGTGCGACATAGAGATAGTGTCCCGCACCTGACGGGTATGATGAGGGCATGTTGTTTGTGATACAGTGTTGCACCTGTGGGGTCAAGAGTGATTTTGTACTACGTATGCTTGATGCTTGTTGCTGCCGTGACTACTTTCTGGGACCGTTCGAACCTTGGGTATGATGTTCATGTAAGAAGATCAATCACGGCCCAGGGAACCACCAGAGTTCTACACGTCCTAGGTTGAACGCTTTTGATGTGTGTCCCAACGCAAGAGATCCCAGCTTTGATGCCCCGCGGCATATCACAATCGTTGACCTGACGACCGAAAGGATGCCATGTGCTCTTTCTGCATGATGTTACTGACTCTGCTGAGCTTCTACCGCTGACGTTTGGTCGCGTTCCTCCTCCTATCGCGGACCACCCAATACCCTTTCTTCGTATCTGCGCAGCGCGTGCCGCCGCCGGTAGCCTCGGAACGGTCGCTGCTGCCGCCGTTTTGCGCGGAGGAGCAATGGGTGAGAATTGTCGGTATATTGCGGACCTCCTATGTGCCAATCCTCAGTGCCCATGTCTACTGAATTGTAACTTTAACCGTCGTCGGCGCTCGTTTTAATTTCTATCGTTTCTCCAGCCACTGCGAAGCTTGTCTTTCCCCACGGTCCTGATTTCGTTCGTTTGTGGTGCCCTGCGTGCTGCCTTTAGAGCAGAGGCTTGCCCACTGATGGTGTCATTCGGACCGACCCTTGATCGCGTGGACAATGTTCCTACCTCCGCAGTAGCCTCTTCGCTGTTCCTCTGGTCCAAGGCGGCCCAAAAAACAATCTAGCATAGCTCTTCGGCTAAGTCGTCCACTTCGTTGTCTTCGAGCGTTCTTTGCCGTAGCCTGGAATTACGTAAGTCACAGTTTCTCGGACCGCCACGGTTGAGGAGCGATCAATCAACTGGACCAACCCTTGAGGAGGGAGGTAGCTTGGGTTATGGGATCCTTTCATCGTTTGTACGGAATGACAGCCTTGCGGATGGTGGTACGTGCTGTCCCACCTGGCAGCTGTTGGCATGCAGGACACCAGAGCTTGGAGTGTGTGCTCCATTCCTCGTGCTCTTTGGTACTGCCGTGGCTTGGTTTACGTCGGCATGGGAAACGTTCCGAGTTTGGATGTTCTCTTTGGCCGAGCTATTACAACGCAAATCTCCCGTCATCCAGACGGTACGCACTTGGACAGTTGCACCGTCAGTTTCTCGCCTGTCATGGTGAGATATGTATCGTTCTTGCCGCCATGTACATGCTCACATTTTTTCACACCCAACGTTTCTGTTTTTTTTTGTCGCATTTTCAATGCCCCCCCGACATGTGCCGGCGCAGAGCACAACGTCATCTCTGGCGTGTTGGGGGAACTGGCCAATATTCGCACGCCCGCAGCCCTTCTCGGCGGCGCCGCCCTCGGCACGATGTTCCTTCAGCCCAAGCCCGATGCCAACAAGCGGCTCCATCTCCTCTACACCCTGCTCTCTACCTCCGCCTTCTCGCTCCAGCTGGTGTGCGTGCTTTGCTCTACGGTGAGCCTGACCGTAGCAGCTAATCGTGAGACCCTTCCACACCCTGGTGTCAGGCATGCCCGCCCAATCACTGCTATGTTGGGGCATTCAAACCGGCTCGGTTTTTCGTTGCGTTCCCGTGGGATGGGAAATTTGTTTTTTATAACCTCGTGACGAACAACTAACTTTTCTGCGACTGTTCCGACCAAGGATGTGGGCGCTTGCTCCGATGTGGGACTTGGCGTCGTACCCTGAGCTTTGAGCGTTCCGACTGGTCCTAACACAACCCTTAATCGCCAAAATGGACGGAGGAAGACCGGCAAGATTTTCTGGTCTAGACCATGACAGCAAACTTCAAGAGCACTCTTCTCTCTGTGTGCCTCTGCAATCCCTGCGTCGCTGTTTGTTGTACCGGCTCCTCCAGCTCACGTACACGTCGATAGCGAGCCGTCCCGAGGCTATGGCGATATCGGCTATCAGCTATCTGTCAGAGCAGATGCAGTGGGAGTTCTTCGTCATTCGGGGCAGGTAGGCCGTTAGCAAATAATCAAGAGGGGTCCTCAATATCGTTCGATGTTTTGTGTTCATCTTTTGTTGAAAAGCGACTTGTTGTTCTTTCGAATTCGATTTTCCACCTCCACATCCGGACCTTGCTTCGTTACAAATGGCGCTTGGCGAACCGAAACTTTAGTTCTGCATTGCACGATATTTCTCCTAGGTCGTTCTAAAGTAACCGATCTGGCGCGTGGCTCCTGCGGTTGTGTGTGCCTGTCGTTGGACGCAAATTGTTGGGGTAACACGGCGGGACACGGCGATGCCCAACGCAACGCAACTCACAAGAAGAATGTGAAAGGTTGTACAGCCTGCTAGATTCTGCATCTGAGCGCACCTGACTCACTGCACGATGCTCTGTGAACGGGCGGGTTTATTAATGTCCCTCCGCAGGCATTGAGCAGTCTGTGCGTTCTGCGACCCGTTCTACCAACGCGATGTCTGACCCCCCCCCTTGAAAGATATCTGATCGACCCGTTTTTATGCGAATCCCCCCCGTCTCGCCGTGTGCTATTTCTCCAAAAACTCGGCGAAGTTTCGTTTATGGCCTCTTCTCCTTCCTCGCAGCGCTTGCCTGCAGAGGCTGGCTTACTTTCTGTAAGTGTATTTGGAGACCCGATCTAGTTCCGAATGTGTGTGTATGTGTGACGCACGCGGTGCGCAGTTTTTCGAGTTTCGTTCTGGGGTTCCTTTCGTCTCAGGTAGATGTCAAGACGACTTTGCCACTGGCGTTGTCGTTGCAGGGATGCCCTCGATGTACCACATGTTAGGGCTTTCCTCACGGTATTGGGAGTTTCATTTCTGCTGCTGATCTTCGTTCACCTCTGCGAGTTCGGGGCCGGAACAGGTAGAGTCTTGCATCATCCCGAACATGGTTGACAGGGCGTTGCCGTTGAATTTCACGAACTCCTTCAAAGCGGCGGCGACTTTCTTTTAGTTTTTGGGGAGCGGAATCACTGCAGCGTCGGCGTGTCGTGTTACGATTGGTTACCCCTCTATGGCCTCATGAGCTCCTTCGACCAATCTTGCGCTTCGCCTTGTTGAAAGTTTGCGTCCTCCTCGCCGTTATGGCCTTTCGACTGCGCCATGTCTGCTGATGAACGACTATGCCAATCCTGGCTATCGCGCTCACTGGGTCTAAAGAAAGCAACGAAAATGTTTGCCGTGCAACGGAATTCCAGACGAGGAAAAGGAAAGAGGACCCGCATGGGTCATCATGGCCGTCCTGGCGAGCTCGGCGATTTTCCTACTCAATTTCATCCACTACACCCAAAGTGAGTGTGCCATCTTCTGTCAAGAGTCTAGTCGAGAGGGGTGGGTTTCCCCGGCTTTAGAGGCCGTCGTTTTTGCGCTATTTTTGCTGCTGGCAAGTTGATCTGCCTTCTTTCCCCAACAGCGGGGCGAACCTATCGGTGGAGGCCAGAACCCAAGCTTAGGCTGCGTCCTTACCTCATTTTCCTGTTTTGTCTTTGTTTCGCTCTCCAGATTCACTGACCCTTTGTCTCGGGGGCATGACCAAGGCCTTGATCTCACTAACGCTGCGCAACATGTACGACACAAAGAAGCGGTTCTTTCGTCATGTACTGGCGGCCTTCGGCATCTGGGGCGCCGTGAAGCTTCTCAAGCTCGGGCCAAGTAAAGGCGCTAAGCGCAGTGCGGAGAAAGGGACTGCAGTATCAACTGCGCCACCTCCTCAGAGCGGAAGAGAGCGGAAGTAATTTGTCTGTTTGAGCTTGAGTGTCAAGGGTATCCGCGTATTTGTATTTGTTCATTGTCTCTTCCCCCGACCAAGAAACAAGCCGGTCGCCCCGGTGGTCTAGTTGGTATCCTCGAAACTTTCTAGAGGCCAGGTCAGGGGTTCGAATCCCGGCGTAAGGGAGCTTTTCCGTCGCTTCCGCTCCTTGCCTAGTGGATAGCGCTAGTTCGTGTGTAAACAGAGGGAAGAGAGTGCTCAACTCTTCTCGCATTAAAATCGAAGGCAGCGCACCGCAGGAGGGGAGGGTAGAGAGGGGCTCTTCTGTGTGACCACGGGTTGGAGTAAACGGCACTAGTGCTGTGAGCGGTGATTTGAAGTGAAGACAACAAAAAAAAAAGCAAGTCGATATGGCGTGGGGGTTTCTGCTTTTGGGAAGCTTTCATGATCTTCTTTCTGCGCCAGGTCGAAGCACTACGCTGTTAACACGCCGTGCGAATATTTTCACTTAAGAGCGAGAGCTGAACGTTTTTTATGCGATAGAAATGTGGCGCAAAGACGGCGGGTGTGACGGAATTTCGTCACTGAAAGGCATACTTTCAGGAGGGAGGAATCGGCCGCCATATCTCCGGAAAGCTGCTGCAGTCTGCCCGAGCGTGTCACCTCGTTCATTTCGCCTCCTGCAGTTGTAACCAACAGGTGGAGCTCAGCCACGGAAACAGAATACAATTCGAGTGACTGGGAACCCATGATATGAACGTTGTAGATGAAGGGTCGCTTACTTGTAGAGTTTGGGGGAGGGGTGAATACGTGCGATTTCTCGACTTGGGTAGAGAATCGTGTTTGTTTTCCCTGGGCTGCTTATCCTCTGGCCGTACGTGTGCTTCATTGAGATCGGGAGATACGAGTCTAAAGTGAACACGTTCTGCAAGTTTGCCAGGCAAGTGCATAGCTTATTTGTGCCGGCTGCAATGGGCTCGGACTTGTGTGCTAAATACCCCGGCGGTTCGCTGGTCATCCTCCTCGTAGACTTTAAGTGGGAAGCGCGCCCTTTCCTTGCCGGTGGGCAATGGAGGGCCACACATGGCGCACTCCCCAACTCCCCCAACCTCTCAGGCCTCTAGAGCTGAGCTACAGCAGTACATAGAGTGCGGTGCAAGCGCGACGCACCAATGAAAGTCCCGGTGTGGCAACACACCGCGCAAGCATTCATCCATGTCGACCTGTTTGTGTCAAAGTGCTCAACAGTCGTGCCAAGGCTGTTATCCATGCGAAAGACTCAGAAAATGTTGGGTTTTACTATTAGTGGCACACCTGAGACCTTCATTGAGCTAGGCTCCTGTGGGTCCGCCAAAAATGACCCAACACCGTCGGTGTCTCGCGTGTTTGTCTAGCCACTTTCATGCTGGAAAGACTCTTTCGGCACGCACCTCAACGCATATGATGTTATGTCGACGTCATTCGCACTGGGGTAGATTATTGAACACCAACGAGTGACAAAATTGTGCACTGTTGAATTCTCGACAACTTATTTACCATGAAGAAGATTCGCTGCTATGCCAGTGAATACAGAGAGCCGTGCGAGCCGTATAGCCGTATGTGGAGCCGCCTTCACACAGCTGAACCGGTCCACCTCCCTCCACCTCCACCACCCTTGTTGAAGAATGTGGTTCCAAGTGCGGAGAATTTGGTTCAAGTGCCGATTCGGGATTGTTTGGATGAACAAGTTTGACCGCATATCGTGAATATCGACACCGCACACAGCGCATCGACGTTTGAGGGGTTGAAATTCCACAAGTTGAACTACAATACCATACCAGGTGCTCATAGGCCATGTCGAAATACCGGATTGGAGGAATGGCGAGTACCATGGATGGGTTCACACGCACGTGGAGATGCATGGATCGCTTGAACGTGGAAGACGAGCTCGTTCAGGTGTGTCATGGTGCCCCCACGCCGGTGTTGCGTAGAGACTACATTGATGTGGGAGGTTATCCACCGCAGCAAAGCATCGGGGGGGATGCTCATATTCAGGCAGGCTATGTTGAGTTTCCCATCGATACAGTATTCCTATCCATGTTGGGCAACATACCGTGCGCTGTAGTCCACATTTTCGCGGTACAGTACACCGATTGGCCATCATCCACTTGAGCGAATTCTGTCGAACTGATCGAGGGTGAACGAAATTTAGTCGAAGATTCCTTTGAAAGTCATTGTCGATGTTCAAACCAGGGAGTGACCCCTTCCTTTCTGCCGAGCAACATGTTTCACATCGCATTTTTTACTCACTAGTCTAAATAGTGATGACAGTTTCGATGAAGCGTGTCTATCCAATTCCGCTGTGTGTGGAAACATCTGTAGCGAAGGTCATTCACCGGGTTCCTGTTTCCTCGATAGCCAGGGGTCCGTTGCTGCAGATATCAATAAAGTATAGATGAAAGGGTCGACATCATTTGTCTTTGACCGTGAAGCACCGCCCCCTTAAAGGGTCGATTTTTGGGCTAAAACCGCACCTGCCCTAACCACCAATCGCGCCGTTGTTGTCACCCAGGACCTTACCGATCCAAACTTCGTTTTGAGAAATGTCGACCTGGCGTTTTCCTGCTGTGGCCAAACCCCTGCAGTTGAGGAGGGCTACCTCCGACGGAAGGAAGTGCAGGTGGGTGGGCTTCCTCAGATGTATAACTATTTATGTGGCGATTCTTGCAACAAGATCTCCTCGAGTGACACGAACTCCGTCCTGCAGCCGCAAAGACACACCTACATCGCTGACTCAAAAACACGAGTTCATAATATCTTCCGTCCAAAGGTCACCTTGGACAGCCGAGGGAAAGCTGATTTACGCCGTTCGCTGCTCTCGCGGTGTTTGTTCCGTGTCTCGGCCAAAGCTCGGGTATTTGTCTCTATGCCGCACAATGGACAACGAAGTTCAATTTCTTTCTTTCAACATCCCGAGACTGTTGTTCACGTCCGGTGCGACGGTCGCGGCACTATGCGTAATCCATCATGTTTACGAAAATGAACACATATGGCGGATCATGACCGAACGATCCGACGTACGCCCGACCCCCGCTTTGCCCGTCATCATCGTACAACGTGTTTTCAGAGGCTGATTTGTTCGCAGTGCCTGTTTGTGGCGGGGTTCCTTCCTCCCATGTTCAAGCAAATGGCCGGTATCGACAAGAAGTCCAAAAGGATGGCTGTCGGCGGCCCGCTGATCGGAATCGTCGGGGCGGGTGGTCAACTAGGGTGAGTAAGGCCAAACTTCAATCGCTACAATAGAAGAGCACCCGGTACAGCACTAACACAATATCAGAACCCATGACAGCCGAAGTAGAAGTTCTGGAGGATTCTGCAATCGCTACTGCCATGGGGCCCGACCGACGGACGGAGGCAATTTGAAATCAACAGTGGTTTGTGAACCCGAAAATCTGCGTATGAAAGCGAAGGAACGGCAGACTTCCCTTCACATGAAAACGTGTCTTTGGCCAGTAGTGCCCTTCTCCTTGGAAACAACTGTGTGTACAAGCATTCCGCATCAACCCCCCCGCTGCTCTGTTCCCGAACACTTCCATTGCACCCTCGGACGCGTACACCCTCGTGAAGATCGGCCATAGTCCAGACATTTCTTGACTACGGCTGGAAGCCTTTCCGTTTGGCCGTGTCTGGCAGGGGCCAGAAAAAACTCCGCAAGTTTGAGGTGGGTGATTGGATTTGTGGTGCTGCTGAACTACTGCTGTACTTGTTTTATTATGAGTGTTCTCATTCCTCGTGGTGCTTGCGTTGTTTGACGGGCCTGTGTTCGCTAGTCGAATGAGATGGCGCAACAACAGGCAAGGACTAGCAGCGTGATTTTCATTCTGTGATTTGCGCAAGCCCATACCCGACGATGAGTCAAGAATTATGCATTTTTTAAAATGTATTCACGCCATGGAAAGTTGTCGCAAGCTACTGTTCAAAAGATTGTTATACCAGATGGAGCGGAATTTACTGGGATAGAGAACCAATCCTTGCCCCCATTGAAAATCACGTAGATACGACTCTAAAATGGGGAGGAATGCCGCACAGCTGTGGGAAACATGTTTCTACGTACGGTCTCCGGCGCAACTCGATGGACCTTTTTGTGTCAACCTGGGACCGGTTTCACTCGGCTTCACCATTTTTTATCCGCGAGAGGCTTCGGAGCCGGTTCCAAAGGAACGGTTTCATTGCAACACACGACCCGCTTCAACCGGCTGTCCAATCGTGCGCTATTCCTCTACCAGGCGCTAGGTGTCGGTGTGTTTGAAGACGTGTCGCTGCTAGTCCGTGCGGTGCGGTTGGTCATAGTGGCCGTTGGGCCCCAGCACGCTAGACAAGTCGGCTCGACGCTCGTGAGTATAGCGTTCCATGATAGTAGAATTGCCTCTGAATAGGATGGGGTCCTGTTTATCGGTGTTGCGCCTGTACACTGAACTATATCAAGACCGTTTATGGGGTAACGTCTCGTGTTGGTGGCTGTTTCGTGCAGAGTTTGGGCGCTACGGCTAGTGTCAAAGGGCTTCAAGACCGACCCTTTCGTTTTTCGGTTTGCCGCTGTGCCCACGAAAACGACGGGAGGTTTGACTAGAGTTGTTCTGGGAGAATTCTTAGAAGTTCGGCCATATTGCAGTTTTCGTTCCACTGAAACATGTCGCATGTCGTGAAAACATTGCTTGTCCATTGGTTGTCGTCGATTGTCGCGTCAAAACTCGTTTTCAAACGAATTACCAAGCACAAGCTTACCGTTTCTCTCACAATATCCCGACACAAACGTGGAAAGCAAATCGCTATTCCCGCTTTCGCCCAACAAGGCTGGGACTCGACGTTCATAGAGGCGAAGAAACGGCCCAGTCCTTCCCACCACAAAAAGGAAGACAAGCAACGCATCAGTAAATCGCAATAAAACTTAACCAGCGCGTAATCTTCCACCTGTGTCACCCCGGCCGGTTAGTCCACACTTACGTCCGGAGTACATGAGATGATAAAACGCAAACGGATACGTAGGGAGAAAATGGTACGGCATCAGCTTTGGTCATGAGCACCCTGGCGGGCATCAGCGAGGGAAGCCTAAAGCGAGTCTTGGGAACGGAGAACTTAATTCAGGCCAGGGTGGACATCGCTCGGCTTGACGTCATGGAAACGATGGTGAGTGGATGGCGGACGTAGATTTGTGAACGCTTCTGGATCGGTAGTCGGAAGCACAATAGTACAGCTAGGGATGTCACGCCACCGTATTGAACATTTGATTTGGTGTTAGTGCCGGGAGCAGCCGCCCGCAAGAGTAGGATGCGCTGCCCAAGTTGTGTCAGCGATGACACGAGAACGGACCGACTTAAGGTTATGAAGTATAAGCCACAAGTTCTTTTGAAACGTTGACTGAAACCGAGACTCCTAACGACAGGCCCGACGCCAAGCATCGCAAACACCAGACGCCCCTGTGCTGTATTTTCGTTCATGAGAGGCGATCCCGCTCCCCTCGATTTTCGCCGCCCAACACACACCGTCTGACACGATGGGCACGGCAGGGTAATAAGGGTCTGCCCGCAGCCGGCCCAACGTCTAGGGTAGGACAGGCAGAGCGCTCAAACGGCATCAAGGACCAATGTGACGGGGATGCTATGAAGGGGGATTCCGACGACTGGGGATGTGGTGACATCGCAACGTGGCGGGCGGTGCACGAGAGGGCATCGTGGCACTTCACACCTGACGCCCGGGCGGTCGGGAAAATTATCGAAACGATAGAATCTTTCTACGTCGAGCAGGTGTGTGTGGGCGCATGTTGCACACAGACCGCCACTGTATGGCTGCTTTTTGTCGCGACACGATGATGATAGCCCAAGTGAATATGTCGCCAGACGATTGGGAGGTCGTGGCTTCGTATGTGGAGTAGGTCGAGGGTCATTGCACATTCGGCGTCGAAATCCATTGCCTTCCTGGTACCCGCCATGATCAACTCCGGTCCACACATGACCTCGCCGAGATGGTTTCCCTCCCCAAAACCTGAACGTTGACGATGGCAGGGTCTTGAACCTGTCCAGGCGCGCCAAGCATGCCGAGATTGGTTGCTACCTTCGGTCGAACCGGCGGCGCTCGGGACTAGGAGTCACCAGCGGGCAAACCTGCCGCGAACTCTCTCATCTCCCGGTAAGATGCGATCTGAACACAGGGCGCCGCTGTCTCAGCACGATTCCCCCACGACCACGGGGAACAACGACCTGGACACCAGGGACAGTCCACGTTCTCCGCAAGAACCAAACAATGATTGCAAGTTTCCCAGCGGTATCGCATCGAAAGGGACGCAGCCCTGCCAAGGCGGAGAGCCCAACACTCCTCCGTACCATTGCCCCAAGGCTGAACAAGAACGCGTAGGTGCACCGCCTCATGTAGGGGACGAAATGGTAGCACCCATATGCGACACCCCCGGTGAGCAAAAGGGTGTCAGTCACGAAACGGTACGGGACGGTCCAATCAGCCGGGACGATGCGGATCGAATGAGGGCTCACGGGGCTTTGACCGCGGGCTCTATGAGGTCCACGTCTGCTGTCGGATCTTGCAGCTCGACGGCAACGAAGCAGCAGCAGCAGCAGCAGCAGCAGCCAAAGACCCACGAGATAGGAAACAACCAGGTGCTTTTGCTCTCGGAACAGTTTGCACCAAGAGCTAACAAAGTCAACAATGAACATGTTTTGGCGACGGCATCACTGGGGTACCAGCCGATGCGAGTACCAGCCGACGCTAGTTTTGTACGTGATGAAAATGCTGGTCGTACGTTTATGGTATAAGGAGTTGTGCTAGATATACTTTTATTGTACAATGAGTTCTGCATAATCTGGAGGCATGTCGTAGCAAACGTATGTTTTCCGGCTCAGCAACGTCCTCAGGTGTGTGTGTGTGTGTGTGTGACAGCGGACGCTGACGCTGATAGCGTACGGGCGGGAATGATGTTGCATCATGCGCATTTTTCGGACCTACCCTACACCTGGTACCAAGTGCCTATACCAGCTCTTCACCAGGAGCGAAGAGTGAAGAAAGCTCGTGGTCCTCATACGACAACAGTGGCATAAAGCACACAGTACATCATAGGTCACGCGGAGAGGAGACTGCAACCGTCCCGCATTCAACTGTAACCGACAGTTCAGCCACACCCGCTGCACCCGAACCTACAGATGAAGGAAGACGGAGACAAGCCAGGCTGCGAACGATGGACGCCGCGATCGTATTGGCCACCTCCAGATCTGGTCCTCATGGAGGATGTCTACGAGCAGGTATACTGCTCACAGAGAGACGACCATACGATCATAGAGAGACGACCGTACGATCATAGAGAGACGACCGTACGATCATGTATACTCCAGGCTTGATTCATTGGCTAACATTCTTGGGAGTTTCGCCTAGAAAGCGGGCGACGCGTTCCGAAGGCAAAACATGCCTCATTTCTACCAGATTGTGTCAAACAGTAGAGAGCGCACCAAATATAGACATGCTACAGGTTTAGGTGATATATGGCGTGTAGAAAGGATACCCCCGGCAAAATGATCAGGCGCTTGTAAAGAGGGTTCCTACCACAGCACCAACTTTCATTTAGGCATTGTCCTATCCGCTCATGTGTAAGTCGAGATTGACTGAGCGTGGAAGATGCGCCGAATCGTGAACAGGCGTGACAAAAGCAGGAAAGAAACCGAAGTGCAGATGTGACCACTTCTTCCAGCACTTTTTTGGCAAACTTTGCACGATGGCCCCGCCCCGAAAGCCTCACCAACACTTTCCCCGACTTGTCTGACACAATTATGAACGCTTGCAGATGCTACGTGTCCCATATGGCGATGCCGTTCGGGAAAGTGGCTACCAGAGTGGACTGTGAGCGCCACCCCTTCATCCTCCGCTTGTACCCGCGTCGACCAAACCCAAACGGTGGCACCGTTGATCTATTTCCTAACCATGCGTGCGATACTAGGATGTACTTGGAGAGAGTCGGAGAAGGGGGATTATGCTCCAGGAGTGGGGTTCAAAATATATCACGACAGAGTGGAGTGTTTTCAGAAACAAACTTCCGCGGGGTCGATCGGGAAAATGGTGTTCCGTTCTGTTTTTCGATTTTTGCCCGATGTTCACGATAAGCGTATCTGTGATAAGGAGGCTGGTTCAATGGGAAGAGGTGGCACGTGAAAAGCCTTGTAGGGCCTGTCGGGATCAGCGTGAAGGGCAATCCCATGGTTTACCTTATTGGGATATGTTCTGAAATATTGAAACCTGTCCCGCGCCGCAGACTTGACTTTCCACCCGATCAATATTTCTGTGCGAGTAGTGACATGTTCTACTCCTGGAGGGTGGGCGTTGCACAACCTGAACGCCAACCCACTCAACATTCAGGGGCGCCAACACGCCTGCGACGCCCGGCACATGTTGCATGGCTCGCGGCTATCACGATGAACTGGTTGTCGGCTTGGGCCAGCCAGGTTGTTTCCCGGAGCTAGATTTGTCCTGTCTGGCAGTTTTTGAGTGTGGTTGTGTTGCCTGCCACAGCCTCGATAGGGGATCGAGGTTGGCCAAAACCCATTATTTCTGCCACGCGGAGCTAACGGAAAAATTCAGAACACACAGAGCAGGAGAGCGCAGGTTTGGATGTTTAGCATGATGCATTCCACGCCATCAAACGTTGCAAGCAAACGATCAGCTTTTCTTGTCAGGACAAGATGAACTTACATCCTTTCGAAGTTCTCCGCGAATAATACCATTTAGCCTGAATAACGCCCTGCCGCCTTGCAGCGACTTGAATCCGAAGGGTTCTGGTTTATTCCTCACAACTTATCCTCCGAGCCTTTTCTGGTGCAAAGCACTGTGCAAGACTTGTTGGCAGGCTTGCTCTGAACAATAAAAAATTATCACAAAAAACAGATGAAACACGTCCCACGTTTCGCGACAAAACGGAACGATCTGAACTAGGAGAAAACCGCAAGCGGAGAAAGGTGAAGCCCTAAGAACCAATATCACACTACCGGTACCGCGAAAAAACGAATACACAACTGGTCGAGCCGGATCATTGACCACCGGTACGAACGACCTACAAACTACTGTTGTGGCAACGACATCCATGATGGTCGCCAGGATCAACGACCACATATCGAACAACGGCAAACGCTCTTTCACGTAAATGCAAATAATAGAGTCGGGGATCACAAGAGTCCCTTGATGGCCGTAGGTTGCCCGGAAGTTTCGAAATTCTCTAAACCATGTATGGTGTGTATGCATGAGTGTAGCCGCGCCGTCCATGTACCCGCTTTCGTTTCCAGCACACCCTCTGACTGGGGCACTTTTCAAAAACTTGTTGCGATAGGGGCGACGGTAGATGAAAAAATCTTGATGTCTAATTTCTCAGAAAACAAGCCAGGATCCTTCTAAATATGGATTTTCCGTCCCATTCTGAACTGGAGATACTCTTTGAAAACCCAGGTGTATCAGCATGACCCTGGTCGATGTTCAAATTTTACAAGCAGACCATTCAAGAGAGGACAACATTCTCCCAATCCACAGATCGAGTCACGGGAAGTAGAGACGTCCGGCCACCTTCGAAACCACGCCGCTCAAGCCTATTGAGGGTTCCGAATCCGCCAGATCTACGCAATTACAACCAGTGCTACAATTCTTCCACCTGCCGCCATTGTTCATATGAAAATGATGCAGAGAACGCAACATGTGCTCGGTTTACATCCAGCCTACATAATTTCATCACACCTAACATTTCACCACCAACACACGATCCAAGAGAGCTTCCGGAACAAACCCGGGAAGTCATCTTCAGGAAGAAGAACGTTCTTTCCCAGGACTACTGTACGACCAACTTCGTCCGCGCCAACATACAGACACAGGAGAACCACCAACAGGACACAATGCCCATTCCGACGCTAAAACAGTGCATCATCTAGAGGGACACTCACTTCATGGCACATTCGCAAGACAACACACCACTTTCATCGCGTGAAACTCGTTTACAAACTTGATTGTGACACGAACCTCGTGCGATTCCACCCTTCAATCCAAAACGCTTTAATACACTCGTCAACCCCATGGAACTATTGACCCCGGGTTGCTTGTAACATAGTGAATCGTGCGCTACCATACCTTGAGAACCGTACGAGTTAGTCTGCTTACGCATTGGCATGCATCCTCTTCTACCGCCACCAACCAACGTACAAGTAGAAATTTGACTCGAAGTTCTACACATAACTCACCCTGGCAGCTGGACCCGACGTTCTTTGAAGTCTGCACGAGGCCTTTTCGGAGGAGTTTCTTTTCAATACCGCTAATACGCATAACTGATCAGAAATTAAAAGGTTGCGGAAACGAGTAACTTTTTCCTGCGCGCTCAATGGCGCGAACACTCTTGAAAAATCATGTAAGGACACAGCAATAGCCCTTGGAGCACGAGCAAGGCCTGCCTTAGGCGTCCACCTTACAAATGCGCGTAGCGATGGGCTCGTCTTCAGCCGCTGCACAGAGCTGGACAGCTTCGACGGATCCGTCCGCGTTGAGCTCGATTGTCTCCACCAAGCCCAACGCATCCGCCAGGTAGACGACGTCCTCGACGTCGCCGTCGCAGCCAGTTCCGACCAGGTCGGCAAGCTGGACCGTGGCGGTGGAGTCACCCCCGTCGAGGCCAAGGATTTCCCTGATCCTGGAAGGCGTCAAGCCCGCATCGAGAGCGGCGCTCTCCTGCTCAACAAAGGCATGGGGCCAAGACAGAGAGTGGTGAGGTATGACTTGGGTGCCTAGGGTGAGCTTTAGGTTTTTGGTTTCATCCCAGGAAGCAACGCAGGCTGTGGAGTTCTGCAGCTCAGACGGGAATTCGACTTGCTTGGTGCTCTACGGTGTCGATTAAACTATCCGCTCTGTTGTGTTCGTCCCTCGTTTGAGCCCGGCACACCCATGTCCGGAAGAACCAAGCCAGAATTGTTGGGATCCAGACCAGTGGCAGAACACCGGCGTGACTCAGAAGAATGTGGGTTCAAACCCGTGTCATCCCAGTGGAAGCATCAAGCTATGTATATTGTTTTGAAAAAAGAGTATCGTTCAGTCAAGGCACCTTGTCGCCTGGCCTCTGGACCACGCAGTAGCAAGACATCCACACAGGCTTGACGCCGAAAACAAATGCAGCACGTACCCAGCTGTCGCGGTTGGGGTTGTGGAGGGTAGGACCATCCGCAGATCCTCCGAAGGACGAGTTATCCAGCAGGAGGCTCGTCCACAGGCCGTCGGAGCGGAGGTCGTACAGCTGGGCGTAGAGCTCACTCAGCAAATCGAACGCCTGGATGATGCCCTCCAGGCCACCCAGGTCCACGTTCAAGTTCTCCTCCAGGCTGCGGACGTATTCGGGACTGACAATGGCGTTCCACCCCTCTTTCATGGCCTCCTGGGCGGACACCTTCCACCCGTGATCTCCGTAGATGTACTCGTCAGCATGATGGACACGACTGTTCTCGGCAAGGAGCGCAATGATTACGGTACGCGCTCTGCGTCGACGCGGGCAAGGAGACGGGGCGTGAACGAAAGAGGGTTCGGATGGTGAGGGGGAGAACCGATAATGAGCGTGAGGCAAAAGCTGGACCATTCTCGGGTCAACGTTGCAGGCACGCACAGCAGGGGTCAACCTTCTGTGGAAATCCCACGCCAGAGCTGTTCAGTTTGGGCAGCAATACCGTGAGGATAGGCAGGAACCAGCAGGAAAATGAATGGGGATGGCAGACAAGAATCAAGCGTGTCAATGGGCAGAATTGATTCGCGTTGTTTCCTCTCCGATCGAACACCTTCAAGTTCTCCAGGGGGAAGTTATCAAAGATGCGAATCTCGATACCGAATCCGACGTCCATCGGAGGAAGCGGTGTGCCCGGGGCCATGAAGTGCTCGTCCACGGAAGTCTTTGGTTTCAACGTCCGAGCCCATGCCCTCCGCCGTACAGCGGAAAATGCCAGATGCTGACGGAGGGGAGCCACCTGAGAGCCGTGCGTTTCCCGTGTCGAGACATGTCATCAACGATGAACGTGGTGGGGTGTTTGCTTGGACGCAATAATTTGAGTTCGGTGCACGGGTTGCAACTGATGAGGTCGAGAGGTCCATCCGTTCTAAAACGACAGGCCTCGACATGCCGTTGTCCCTGTTTCCCACGCTACGGGACGAGATCATTTATTTTAATGCGAAGGCGAAACATAACGTGTTACTACCAGGAAAGGGGGTGGCATGATCGAAGAGAGAGTACATGAGACACGAAAAAATGGTCTCCGGACCTTCGCGCCTCTGGAAAATATTCGTCTGCTCTTCCTAGGCACGGCCGGCCTGCTCACAGGAAGTATCTTCACCAGAAACCGAGACTCAGGTGTTCCAGAGAGCGCACCGTAATTTCCGCACGAAACTAAGCTAGTCCATCTGCATCGCTCTACCTCGTAGCATGTGGTAGCTTAGCAAGCGCGTGTTTTTCAATCGTGTAGTTGTGAGGATTTGAGCCTTGGTCAACATTTCATGCAGTTGTTTCCTCACGAGCGGGCCGGCAGTTGTGCAAGTGGTCAGAGGAAGATCACAGTTTTATAATTCGAGTATCTCTTCACCTCCAGGAGCCAGTCAAAGCCCTGCTGGCTGTAGCGACCGGTACCCGTGACGGCGAACGTGCGAACGTCCGTCGTCCCGGGAACGCCCCACCCAGAGCTCGTCGTGCGGTAGGAGCCCTCGACGAATTAGTTGTCGTCGCACACGGCTTCGGAGTCCGACGCTCCAAAGCTCTGTGCGGAGGTTTCACGCCACAGAATAACGCAACAAGGTGTCAATGGGAAGGCTACATCCAAGCCTCAGAGGTACAGCACACAGAGCTGTCGAAGAAAAACGATTGGCTTCGTGACGGTGGAGGCGAATGTGCAAGCGCGGGCCCGATATCCACGGCGTTACTTGTTTTGAACGATAAGACAATAAGGACAACATTTCCAAGTCTCCGTGAACACGTGTAGGCATACCTAGACATACCATGTGGGCGTCTACCCAAACGTCCCTCGCGGTCTCTTTTGCGCCCCTGCTTGCCCTCACGTAAGTCCTCCGCACACGTGGCGCTGTCCTTCAGCGCGGCGTCGTCGTACAGGATCCTGCCTTCGGGGATCGTGCGGGAGAGAGATCGAAACGTGGTAGCTTCCCGTGTAGTCCTTCATGTCGCACCCGTCGCAGGACGAACACGTGTGAGTCTTGCCGCCGGTCCGTGTGTAGAGGCCCAGCTGAGTGCTCATGCCCGAACGGGCGTGACGGACCTGTACACACGGGTGGGTAGCGTTTTGTTTAGGATTCTATCGGCTTTCGCGGAACAGTGTGTCGCGCTGGTGACGGGAAGACAAAGAGGGACACCGTCTTGAAAAGCTGGAAGCGCTGATAGGGCACACGCGAAGTTAAGTCCATCTACATGTAGTATACACCTGTCCGCCGTACCTCGCCGAGAGATTCGGACACAGCCGCTTCTCCAGGGTTTGCCGGCACCACGTCGACGATCTTTGCATCAAGGGTTTACAGCTGACAGAAGGCGCTGTCGATCGTGAGCTGTTGGTGATCCATGGAGACAGACTCGGCCATCCCCCGGAAATTAACCTCGTTCACGCCGGCGCAAGAGAGGCCGGAGAACTCCACACCTGGAGAATCAAGCCGAAACCGTCGGGGACGGAGATGGTTTCCGTGGCAACTTGCTTTCACGGTAACCCCACGTGATCACCGCGATTTTGTTTTTGTTCGTGCATTGCTCTCTCTCGTCCTATCTGGCTTTGCCTACAGTGCATTGCGCAAACAGAAAACCGTATGCATAGTCGTGTTCCGTTCAAAGAACAGCCGATAGTGACCGGTCGATGCTGAGTGAAGCAACTCACACACACATGGCCCCTCGTCTAACTCCTGCGCCCCCCCTCCCGGTACAACCCGTACCCTCTGACTGGAAAGTCTTGGTGTTTTTTTATCCCCCTACAAGACTGACGTCTATTCATTGGTCAGCCGGTCGGGCGGTGGATGCAAGTAACAAAAAAACACACACACACAACACACACTCAGGGGGTCCTAGTTGAGTGTTTTGTGTTTTCAACCGCACTGGGACTGACGTATTTTCATTGGTCAGCCGGTTAGCGCGGTCGATGCTAACAATAAAAACACGCACACACCTGTATGTTCGGAAAACCGCCACCGAGTGATCTTCGCGCGATAGCCCGAAAACCCTCCCGTACCGGGACATCTGCATGGCGACCGTCCCGACGTTAAGCACGTGCTCCTCTTTGCGCCCCTCATGGCTGTGCACAAGGAGGCTTTCGTGCTCCAATCCAGTCGACCACTGCGCGCAGCCCTGGGGCGATGGTGTTCGGTAGTACGGATTGGTATTAAAGTGGTACGTAACGTATCGATACATGAGAGATGTCCCGGATACTCTGTGGCGAGGGGTGGACCTTGGTTGGAGCGTATCGTGAAGGGATCGACCAGAAGGGGTTGATACGATGCATCACCGAGGGTGAATGTCGAAAAATAGTTGGATACCAAGCGGAGGTCGACGTCCTGTGCGCTACGGCCCACAAAACCACGGCAGCAACACCATCCATCTCTCGGCCGCGTGTGTACGAAGAATAAAGAGATGTTCATTACCGGCTGAGCAAGCAACCAATGAGCAGGAACAAACGAGGACTGTTGGAGGAGACCCCAAACGCAAACAGACTCGACATCTGCACGAAATTAACTACCGTTCCTCCGTGGAAGCATTCTAGTGGTGGAAAATTAGGGGAGTGGCGATTTAATGACACCGGACGGTAGGCACGATCTGACTAAAGATTTCGACGGCGGGCTGAGGATAGAGCACATGCGGGGACTTCACTCACACCTTCAAGCACGTACGTACATACGTCTACAACATGACCAATCTGCTGCTGCTTTTGTTGTAGTTGATGTTGTTGTTGTTGTTGTTGTTGTTGCATTCACAAAACAGAACTTATGCCCTTCTCTGCTCAGGGAAGTAATTCGCCTTTGAGAGTGTATGTGTGTCACTTTATGGGCGGTTCCGGACCAGTTGTGTATAAATGGACAGGAAACGAAACAGCAGAAGTTTTGGTTGGGTTTTGCTTGTTGCAGAAGTAATTCGCGAATACCGTTGATGACAGACCTTGAGGAGATGATCCTTTTGCTCAGAAGTGCGATCCCCTGGACAACCATCCCTCAACCAGCCCATGGCCAAGAATACGTGGATCCCCTGGCCCTTGAGCTTCTTCGGGAAGTAGTACAATATAGTTGGCATATCTAGAAGGGTTGAACTCCGTAGCGGCTTTGCCGGAGGAAAAACTTGGTACATCTTTCTTTTCAGGACGAGCGCAGGTGGCGATCGCTGAACGGGGGAGTCGCCCTCTGGTCGGCAAGGTCAATGGCAAAGGGAAGGGGCGACCTTGCTTGATGATGGGGTGTGGATCATAAAACCGAGAGGCACGAAGCGCCCAAGCAATTGGTTCTGGTAGCCCTGTTGGCCGCTACACGGTGTGTGCGTCGTTTTCGTTGTTTATCGATCGCGTCACCGACGCATCAGTGGAAACTGTTGAGAAGCACGATAACCAGCGCTGACTAGCGGTCTAGCGGTCGTCGTGCTTCCATGCAGGTACGGTTGCAGAAGCAAGAAACACGCGGGACTACTTACTTGAAGCGATTATTTCATGTTTCCAACTCGATATGTTCTCTCTGGAATGGCATGTAGGCCGTAGTTCGAAATAATGGGAAATCATTTCTTACAAGTGAGACCAGCAACAGACATCCACGCCCATCGATATATTTCCGCCGGAAAAAAGGGGGTATCACTCAATTGTTTGACCTATTATTCTTTGTGTACACAGCCGGTTGCGCCGCCACCTCCTCACGCACACTGCGCCACCGTCGCGGCCGCGCTGCGCGCTGGGCGCGAGACACGGCGCGCAGCACCTTGTGTGCCTTGGTCTCCCTCCCTCCTCGCGAAAGAGCCGGAGGCTGAAACATCGAACAGCGCGTTTTTGAAAAGGGAAGACAACAACGACAACAACAACAACAACGACGACGACGACGACAACGGCCTACAATTTTTTTTTTTTTTTCTTAATATGACACAACGAATCCATCTCTATCATAGAGTCAGAGACAGATTATTATTAGCAATGAATCAATTCATGGCGTCAGAAAATGCTGCCTGTATGTATGTCTACGATTTCCCAGACAGCATATAGGGAAATCTCCCGTGCGGGTAACAGGCTCAACAAAACAGTTTGGTAGCTGTCTTGTGTGTCTCATATATGTTATGTTGGGAAGGTGCAGCAGAAAAAGGTGTTGGGTACTGTTGGGTAGTCGGGCGTTTCGTGTTTCGTGTGTGGCACCCTGTTAGTCGTAGGGCATTCAATCTTCCTCAGTTTTCAAACGTATTTTCAGTGTGTTACGGTATTGCAAATGTACGTGCGGACACACTTCGGAGTATGTGCGGACACACGGGAGTGGTCTTATAGGTACAGATATAAAGAGTCATGCCCTTTGGAATGGGCTGGCTGGGGAGTTGTTGAGATGTGTTATTTATCCGCTGGGCGCGACAACGGGAGAAAATCTTGCCAAGAAAGATCAGATGTGAGGAAATGGTGTCGCCGCTTGTTACCATATAGCCTAGCCATCCAAGCCCGCCCCTGCTTGGGAAACCGTGGAAACACAGGTACACTTCCGCTGACGCTATGAATTCATTGATAATCTATCTTAGACTTACACATAGATGGAGATGAATTCGTTGGGTCACAACGTATTATTAAGAAAATAAAGCAAAAAGTCAAAAGACGAAAAAACAATAAACAGCCATCACGCCGACACCCCGACATCGCTCTCCGCTCACTTGCCAACATAAGCAACATCAACACACAGCTCCCGACGCCCTACTACGATTGCAGGTACGATCTACCGCATTGCGGAATGAGCAGGCCTGCAGTCCTGTCGACATAGTGCTATCTTATCCTTCGGAGCATGCTTCCGTGGGAGCAACACCACCGCTGTGCAACACCACCCACAAGCAACTCAAGGTTAATTTCTGTTCCGGCGGCAGGTGGGATCGTTTTTCGGCGGGTTGATCGGCGCTGAGCTCTGATGTTCGTTTCTACATGTACATACAGGTTACAGCAGTAGTGGCAGATCCTATTGTTGTTACATGATGAGCAGCAGCAGTACCACGGGCGAATCCTCACTGTTGAGTGTTGACAGAGAGGCCACCAGGAGAGGCCACCAAGAGAGGCCACCAAGAGAGGCCACCAATTGCTGTTGTTCCGTTGCTCTCTGGTAGCCGCACTTTAGCAAGCAGCGTGTCTTGGGCGGTGTCGAATGGAACATGTGGATCGAGAGTGTCTCCCCACTTTTCTATGCAGACAGTATGCCCGTCCCTCATGCAAACGCCGCGTAGCTTTGTTTTATCTACCACCGCCGCAGTCCTGACCCAACACGCGAAATATGAAAAATATCCCCTGCACATTCGTGCGGAGTAACATAGCAAACTGTGTCACGCGAAACGATGACCGACGGTGGTGAAGCAAAAGGATGACCAAACCCGGCCAGATAGATATGTACTGCTGTAGATCGTTTGAACTTTGCTGCCGTGACACTTTCCGCATGCTGCTATGAGTTCTCTACGACTGACCCTAGAACCCTCCGAGACTTTTCGGGTGAGGTGTCTCATATATATGCATATGTGGAACCCATATGTGAGGGTGCGGGTGCGGCAGCACCACCATATGTACATAATTGGTCACTTTTCATGCTTCGGCATTTCTTTCTCTCGCGGCAGCGAGTCTTTTCTTGTGGTTCCTTCTCAGGGGCACGCAGGAGGCTCGTCGGTGCATTTACGCCCGTGCCCGGAGCTCGGTAGGCCTCGGTGGCACTTGTGGTTGACGGCCAAAACTAACTGCGAAACCTGCCTCAAAACCTTGGGGGCGCGTTCCGCCCTGACAAAGGCCTGGCGAACCATTCTGAAACCTTTCAAACCCATCAAATACGACGGTTTGAAATATTTGCCTCTTCGCTCTTGTCTTGCTGCTCACTTTCATTCGTTCCTTCATTCATTCATTCGATGATTCATGGCTGTGACTCTTCGTATCGTCGCATTGTCCAACAGCAGTACCCTACGTTTACTATACACTTCGCAGCAGGCCAATTGTAGACAAGTCTGAGAGCATGCATCCAGCCGCAGTGTCCGCAGTGTTGAACATGTCCCATTTGTGGTGTTGTTTCGGCTTGAAATAATTCGGTTCTCATCGGAAATCTGCCGTCATCAATCAAAGACATCATGGAAGTCTGAGTTTTCGCTGACAAATATTGTCCGCTCGAGCTGGCTCCAATGTAGAATAACAATGTGCGCGATGTTTTGTGCGGAAATACAAGCATTGTAAGACACACAGTACCTCTTCGGGCAATGCGCATGTGGTCTTGCGTCACCTGAGGGAGGGTAGACACCCACGTCCCGAAGGGAGACCTTGTAAACAGTAAAATTTCCGGTAAATTTCTGCAGCAGATTTCACACAACGCCCGACCAATCAGAAAGCGTTAATCCTAAAGAGTTACTATCGATGTTTTATCATACCACCGGTACACAGGTGTCATTAAGGGGTAGTGCAAGATGAAGGCAGGCAGCAGGACCAGCCCACAGCTGTCTACCAGCTGCCATGTGTGATGTTTGTAACAGGTTCAAGAATCGAACCCAGCGACGTCCACGAACCGAAAAAAAAACGGCATGCATAGAATACACACCACACCACCTTACCAAATCCCAAGGTCGACTACTACATACCTATTTGTGCGGCCGGGCAACGGGGTACGACGGATATTGTTATGGTATTTGGAGGTAGACATGTGATAGTGGTTGATCATGGTTATTTGGCGCCGTCGGATGATAAGACGTGACGTCATGCTAGATCAGGGCTTTATGCCGAGACATGTGCCCTTCTGTTCAGTGTGTGCGTACAGGCGATCTATGATCGTGTGTGCATGGGATATTGTGAGTTGGCTTGGAAAGCGTTAATCAAGAGAAAGAGAACAACGGAAAGCAACAACAACCTGCTACTGTGGTCGGACAAGAGAGTTCCACACAGCTCAAAGGTGATTGATTCTGAAGGAAGGGGTCAAATACCATTACACTGGCGTAGTCGGCTTGTTGAAATGCGTGTTTTGATCGCACCCCAGCACCTCCCCACTCGGTGTTTGCCATCGGGGTTGGGTTTTCGTCGCTTGGCAACGACGGCGTAAAACAAGCCAGTTAACTTCGTGAGCTCGGCAACCAGCTCGGCAACCAGGTTACCGCTTTTTTGTTGCCTCTGGTTTTTTGTTTGCGGTAACCATGGATGGCGGTCGAGTAGATCATGCTGTGCGGGTTCGAGAACCCTCACTCCG